CCAGAGATGATGGTAGCCCCCATCCTGCGGTGGGACAAACCTCCCTGGCTCCTGGAGGGGGGGCTGGCAGCAGGGGAGCAGGAGCAGCGTGAGCCTCAGTGCCCTCACACCTTCAGGATGGCGTACTTGAAGACAGCCATGATGGCAGCGCTGATGAGACCCGAGATGGGGACGGTGACAAACCAAGCCATGAAGATATTGCGGAAGAGGCGCCAGTCCACCGCCTTCCTGGAGCGCAACCAGCCCACTGAGACCACGGAGCCCACCTGCCCGAGGAGGCGGGACACAGCTCAGCATCGCAGCAAGATGGGGCACCCATTGGGTGTCCACCACCCCAGGGAAAGCCTCAGCTGTGGGGCCAAGGGTCTTGCTCCAGCCTCTGGGGACCCAGCAGACCCCATGCAGAGAGGACAGGGTGGTGATGGGGACAGGTTCCCACAGCCACTTGGCAGAGCCCAGGGGGTCCATGGAAGGGGTTTTGTTCTCCCATCACCTCCCTGAATGTCCCCTCAGCCAAGGACTCCCCTCAGCTGCTGCCACCCCGCATCGAGATGCGAACGGCAGAGCAGGGAGCTGAAGGCCGGCCAACAGCCTAGTTGGGGACCTCCCGCACAGCTCAGCCTTCTTAGCACCAGGACTTGGGGGGAAGCTGAGCTTGCACCAAGCCGGTGTCATCCCCTCCTGCCACCCCGACCTACCTTGCAGTGGGTTGTGCTGATGGGGAGGCCAACATTGGAGGCGATCACCACCGTCAGGGCAGACGCCAGCTCGATGCTGAAGCCGCTGCAGAGATAGAAAGCGTGTGAGAACCCAGGCACAGGACCCAGCCCCCTGGCCCAAGCCAGACCCAAATTGCTCTTCCCCAGGCAGACCCTGCCCAGGGGGTTCAGCTCCTCATCCGGTCCTCCAGAGCCCCAGACCGACCCCCACAAGGGATGCAGGGAGGTGGTACCAGACCATGCACACCCCAGCTCCACCACCCCGAGCAATGAAACCCCCAAGAGAGAACAGAGAGGGGCTTTAGGAGCAGGGTGCAACTCTAGGAATGCCTGAAACCTCCCGCCCTGCCCCAAGGCAGACCTTACCTTGATGGTGTGATGGGAGTCAGGTCCTTCCCCATCGTCTGGATGACTCTCCTTCCCCAGACCCACAAGCCGATGCAAATCCCCACACCTCCATAGAGCAGGAGCCAGATGGGAGTTGCCACCTTGGCAGCCACATCACTCGTCTGATAGACCAGGTAGAGTGCGACCAGGGGACCTATGGCATTGCTGGAAGAGAAAGGAGAGCTGGTCTAGAGGGCAAGATGGGCACCAGCCCCAGCAAGCAACCCTGCTGCTCCAGCTGAGCCAACTGACCTGACATCATTGCCACCGTGAGCGAAGGAGCCAAAGCAGGCAGTGAGGATCTGCAGGAACTGGAAGAGGAGGGACACCTCGGGTTTGTCCTGGTCATGCCATTCTTCCAGGGAGCTACTGCTGCCCTTGTGGTCGCTGACGCCCATCTCCACCTGGGCTGTGTTCAGATCCACGTCTGCAGCCGGGTGGGCATCCGCCACCGCGTTGCAGTAGCTGGTGTAGCTGTCCATGCGGACCCTCTTCTTGGTGTCCACCACGGGCCAGGTCAGCTTCTCCATCTCCTCCCCCTCCTTGGCACGGAGGGAGTCCAGGGGCATGCCGCAGATGGCCATGGTGTAGGAGGTGTAGCTGTTGTTGCGCCGCAGGGGCTTGTCCCCCGAGTCCCCCATGCAGTCCCCCATCTTGGCCAGGTGCAGTTTGTGCAACAGCTCCTTGTAGAGGCCGGAGTCCTTGTGCACGGTGTGGTACTGGTACTGCCCGCTGGAGCTCAGTTGGTGGCCCACAGCCTGGTTAAACTGGACGAGGTTGCCGTTGGGCAGCCGCACAGCTCCTGCCGAGGGAGACGGCACGGGTTTAGCACTCGGGATGGAGGGAGACCACCCTAGCACCCCCCCATAACACCCCTCACTGCCACTCACCACTGTCGATGCTGGTTTCCTTCAGGAGGCTGGGGAGCCTCTCCTGCTCCGGAGCCTCCTCCAGGTCCCCCAGGTTGAAAGAGACTGTCCGCTCCTCCACTGCTGCCCGGTGGGGCACGGCCAACCCCACATCAGCAACAGGGCTCTTGGCATCGCCCAGGGGCACCTTGGGCTCCTTGTGGTCCTCCTTCGGGCTGATGTTCTTCTCCATCAAGGGGCTTTCAGAAGGACTTGATTTGATTTCTCCTGTGAAGGGAGGCTGCTGCCATCAAACCCCTTCCCACCACCACAACCAACACCAGGAGCAAGCCCACACCCCTCACCACTCAGATTTATGGCAGCTAAATAAAAATTTACAGCTTCCCCCTCATTCTGAACTTCAGAAACTGCTGGGCAGTCACACCTTGTCCTGGGCACAACAGCCAAACCATCACAAGCCAGCTCATCTCCTATTTTTAGGCCCCCACCCACCCACACGGGGTGTGGTGAGCACCATTATGGGGCTTTTATGCCCATTCTTCCTAGGGCAGAGGTTCCTCTTTTAGCCATGTTTGTCCCATCCCCATTCCTGGCAGCTGTGGGATGCTCTGGACCTGCTTCTAGGGTGGTTGCGACCCCTGAAGCTGATGGGAAGGTGCCCAGAAGAGCCCAACTCCTCTACCAACCCATCAGCTCCAGCCTGTGGCAGGACTTGCCTACCTGGGCTCCCCTCCAGCTCCCACTGGTGAGTGACAAACCCAAACAGGAGCCGGTCCCCACCTCCCAAGCACAGTCTGGTTTCCTGTCCCACTGGAAGAGCCAAGCCAGTGGCACCAAGCCCTGGAAGCTGAGGTTGTTACTCCCCCTCTACTGGGAAAAGCGTGTTTTCTCCAGGTGAAAACATGAGGTCAGCTCCTTCAGACAACAACAACAACAACCCACCTCCTGGTCACAGCCGTGACCATTTCCCAGCCAGTTCGCTCACTGCAAGGGCCAGGCATCCAGCCCCTGCAGAGCTCGTCTCCCCCTGCACCCCCACCTCCTCCCAATGATGCTCTCCAGCAGGCAGGCTGCCTTAGCAGGCAGGAGCGCCTGCCTTGCAGGCAGGAGTTAAGCCGAAGCTCAAACAGCTGGAAGAATGTCAAGGGCAGCCATAAAGCTGTTAGTCACACCCCAATTACACCAGTCTGACAAGGACACTGGTTATCCCCTCATCTCCAGTTCCTTAAGTGCCCCAGACTGCACACAAAATTTATATGCAAGACCACACACGACTACAGGAAAGCTGCCTGTACTTTTCAGAACTCGGGACTGCTCTTTTGGATGCCTTTCAATAGAGTGGGTTTTCTTTTTTTTTTTTTTTTTTTTTTTCTCCAGGGAAAGGATTTCATCAGCTTACACAGCTTTAAACTTGTGATCTGCATCCGCCAGGCCAAAGACTGATCAGCAGGTATGCGGAGGATTAAAGGTTACACTGGTTAACAGGCAGGTTGTTCTCCTGCTTCTCCTCTGTTCAGTGGTGAAACCAGGCTGTTCCATATCGCCTGCTCTCCTGCGCAGTTCAAGGAGAGCTGGCCCTGCTGCAAAGTCAGCTGCCAGGCGCCACTCGGCAGCACAGCAGCTACTTTGAGGGGTATTTTGGGGTCCCAGGGAGCAGCTTTCTGGGGCTGCTGCAGGTTAGGAGCACGCAGGGGGGGTCCAGCTCGAGGAGACGCGCCCCAGTGACTCAGGGTTTGCAGAGCAGCTTAAGCGCTCACTGCAGCTGAGGATCCCTGCTAATAACAGCCCTGCGGCTAATGAGATCTCCCGCTGGGAAAAGAAGTTGGTTAGTCCGAGCATGCCCTTCCCCCGAAGGATTGCAAAGAGAGGCGTTACTTACGTTCGATTTTCTTCTTCATTCTTGGACATACAAAGAACCAGACGACGAGAGCACAGACAACAGCACTCCCCGCCGAAATTAGGAGGATACCCCAGAGAGGAAGTTTGTCAAAGCCCAGCACTAGGAAATAAAACAACGGATCTTTGAAAACCTCCGGGCAAAAGCTTCCTCGATGCATGACTTTGCTCTTCCCGGCACGGGGACTCCCATCACCTGCAACATCCCTCAGCTAATTCACCTGCCAGGGAGAAATGCCGTCGGAAAGCCATCACTGACCGCACAGAAAGCAAGAGCTTCACCCCCACAGAAGCCCCCCCAAGTTACAATCTCTCCCTATCAAAAGCTAAATTTTTCACATGTGCGGCCACTTCCCCCTCCCTCCCGCAGCCAAACCTGATCAGGGACCAGCATGTGCCCTGAGCAGGGACAGGAGGCTCCTCGCAGCCCTTGTCTTGCTGCAATGTCAAAGAAAAAAATAAAAATCCACCACCCAGCACGGCTGCTGCAGCGCCAGCGCCGCTTCCCCCGGTCAGGGAGAGGACACGCAGGACCCAGGCTGCTCCCCTCGGAGAGCCCCATGTCTCCGATTCACTCCTCCAGCTGCCGGGGGAAGAGGATTCTCCTGCTCCGCGCGTCCTTAGGAACTTAAGCTCGAGTTTCAAGGCACCCAAGGTGGTACATGACCTAGTTACGAGCATTTTCACATGCAGCGTGACTTTTAGCAGAGGTTTTGCATCACACAGCCTGCTGCACGCCCCCCCCCTCCCCCCGGCTGGGGTATCAGGTGCTTGCAACCACTGAACTCCTGCGTTTTCTGCTGCAGGCAATAACCGAACTGCTCCGAATGCACCACCAGCAACACCGCGGCTGCTTTACCCACGGGTTTGGCTACCTGCTTGTGCCAAGCCTGGCTCACCAAAGGCTGGACTGGCACAGAGCTCACCCAGCCCTCCTGCAGTGGAGGACTCTGGATAAACACGAATCCACCTCGGGGGTGGCAAAGTGATCTTGGAGCAGTGCCCCCAGCAACCCTGCCTTCTCCCCTGGGCTGGAAAGCCGAGGGAAGGGGAAGCTGACATCCCCGTAAAAAATTTTTCCAGCCTCTGTTTACAGAGAAAACCCTGCGGAGCCAGCACCGACGGCTCTCACCCCACCTGCAACAACTCCTCCACAACAGGAAACCCACGTTCAGACCAAAAACAGCTCAACGCCGACTCACCCCGGCGGATGGAGGTTACGGAGCCTCCAGCTCCGCAGGCAAAGCCGCCCTCCCCTGCCAAGCCCTCTCCTAGTCCTGCCCACGACCTGTCCCCCACCCTGCTCCACAACAGCCAAACAAGCACTTCAATTTGGCTTTTCCAACTCCTCTTCTCGGTTACAGGTGCCAGCTCTTCTTGCCAGGGATAATTAGTTTATTCTTAGGGACAAGGTGAATCAGGAGGCACAGCCTCCATCCCTGCTCCCAGCCTCCCCACCGGCAGCCCAAGGAGTCTCTTCAGTGGCAGCCGGGTACCTGAGTTTTAGCACAGGTAAGAGAAGGGAAGGGGAAGTCAAGTTATCTGCCAAGTCCTGTGAAGTCTAAGGAGAAAGGTCTGGAGGGGTTTAGTTTGAGCAGGTCTCTTTGGTTGGGCAACTATCTAGCCCAGAACTCAGCGCACGCTAGCCTGCAGCCTTCTGTAACCGGCACAGGCCAGCCGCCTTCTAGAAGATTTCAGCCCTGTAAAGCAAAAAAGGGGTAAATCGTGCATTTAATGGAGGTTCTGTAAAGAATGTAAAAATTAAGGTTCAAATGTTCTGATGCGTACTTACAAGGTGCACCGGTATACATGATGGAGAAGAGGTTGATCCCCACGGTACAGGCATAGAAGACTGGCAAAGCTCGCAAGCCGTTGGGAACGGGATCCACCTGCAAAAGGAGGATTAGTGCTGCAGAAAGCCAGACCGTGAGGGTCGTGCAGCAGGCAAGCAACAGCCCCTTCCCAAAAGGGGGGGGGTGGTGGGGTGTGCCTTTGGTCAACTGCTGAGCAAGCCCGAGCTCCCAACAGCTTTTGTAGAATAACCTGTGGGGTGGCCATCACCAGACACG